GGGAAAAAAAAACACTTGATGATGGAGCGTTTTATACAAATGACACTAGAGTTTGAGAATACACACTCTTGAAATCCATAAAAAATCAATTACATAATAAATAAAGTAATAATATGGACCATTTCATTAGAAATATTTGGGGCAGTAAATTCTGTTCTAATAATTCGCTCATTAAGATAAAGTATGTAAGATCTTTATTGTGCAGTCGTGTATCTCAAACTCAGGTGTGGTCGCCTAAGGCCCGGCTTTATATTTGCTTACAAGCCCAATTTGAGGACACGAGAGGCCTGAGTGTTGCTGGGTAGCAAGCAGCCATACAGGCATTGTTCCAAGAGGGATAACCAATGAACAGCACTACTCAGGAAACAAATTCACACAATGGCGCACGTTGTCGGCTGTCATCACAGCTAGTGCCGGCAGGCTATTTATACCAAAGGTCATCTGGCTCAGGCAGCATGTAAACACACACAAACACACACACACACACACACACAAATAAACATACAAAGCCCACTGTACTGCGTTAGAGGTTATTGATAAATTTTGACCGGACATGTTCTGTAACTCATTCTTGTGTCAGATTTAAAAACAATTAGTTCAAAATACCCTGTGTGTTTTTAACCTCTGTTGTTGCAGTGTATTACTGTGCATACCCTGTGTGTTTTTAATCTCTGTTGTTGCAGTGTATTACTGTGCATTAAAGTACTGTGATGCAGATCACCTAGGATGTAGTACAGCAGTCTTTAGTAATTACACTGTCCCATAAAATAACAACTGTAAGTTTCACTGCAAACATCATGCAGAATCGCCGTACGCTGATACCGTTTGTTCAATAACTTGTGTATTAAATAGTTAAATCTATCTATTGACTGATAAACATTTCTGAACTAAGTCACCCATGCTCTCAGCAGAGCCATTAGCAGATTAGCTACAAACAGCTACCTGGACCTAACACAACAAGCCTTTGGCAGCCGTACTTCAACATGTATGAAGTATGAAGAAAATCCAAAACAATAGTTTATAAATGCTAGTATAGTATATATACGGTATTCTAATGCAGGTCAAATTTAGCTAGTCTGTTGTTTCTAGTTTGGTCAAACCTATCTCGTCATTTCTTATCCTCAGGCGAAAAACTCTCAGAAGAACTCATTTTATAAAACAAGTGTGTGTAGACCGATTGTTGGTTCATGTCAGAACTGAATCCCTTCAATTCTATGCCACCATATAATTATCCCAGGACACTAATCCATTGATTTTATTAGGTTTCAGCATCACCTTCTGCACTTAACAATAAAACAAACTTTCAACCAAATTTGAAAATATTTTCAGAAAGATAAATATGGACTGATCCATATGGAAAATTGAAAATCATAGCAAAACTTTTCTGTTTATTTCTAAAGAAAAAAAAATCTGGCTACCAAACCAGCCTGATTTGTAAATACTTTGTTTTTATCTTACGCTCCATTAAGTTACAAATGTTGTAGTGAGGGTTCCTAAAAGAGACTCTACAAAGTTTTTGTCCTTGCTCTCGATCCTAGAGCAGCAACAGAGGCAACCACACCAGAGTCTTTATTTATAGCCTTTCGGCTTTGCACTGGCCCTGCCTGCATGTCACAAGACTCAGCAGTAGATCCTCTGACGACAGCAACTAAATGACTGACGGGGGAGACGAGAAGGACAGAAAAGCTGAGTGGGAAAAATAAGTTAAAAAGTAAGAAAACAAGAAAAAAAAAAGCATACTTATTGAGAGCTAAGTTCAGCAAATACAGCAGAGAGAATCACCCAGTAATACTTATGTACTACTCCAATAAATTAATAATAAATAAAGAATTCGTCACTAGGAATTTGCAAACACACGTGGTAAGACAAGACGCCTCACTTCTTCAAAGGTGAAGTACCAGTTGCCTCAATTTTAAATATGCAGAAGTGATACCATTGTTAGCTTTTATTTAGAGCAACAGAACTAGAAATAAAGAATAAAGAATATTGCAGGTCGGCTCAGTCTGACAGACAGAAATAGCGGTGTCAAATCAGGCCTTTTCTTCTGGCTCTGGTTGATAACTACAGTGTACACGAGCGGCTCTGCTTTTTGTAACCACATTGCATTAGTTTACACTCGAACAGACTTAATAGTCTGTTGAAAAGGCTGTGAAAGATATGGCTTTCAACACTGCATGTTTACTCGGAGGACGTGTGTTAGCACTGAACAATGAACACTGTACTCTGTGAAAAGGACAATATTCAAAAAAATGATGTTGATCGTTAAATTAATCACTCAGTTGTTTTATGGAGCCACAGTTTTTGTTTTGTTTTTTTCAGTTTTTTGCCTGATTTAAAGGTTCTTACAGTCTAACTTGTGAGGGTGTGAGTGTTGCACCAGAGAGGGTCAGACAGGGGCGATCATGTTAACTGGCCTAAAGCCCTCTTTTTGCCCTGACACAAAATTAGCCTGCTACCTTAAACCCACTCTGGAACAGTTACAGTGAGGGAAACCCCCCTCCTGCCAGAGCCAACAACAGTAACCTTAGTAAAGGAGGTCAGACAGGAACTGAGAGAACAGGACAAGCGAGGTAAAGCTGTTTTATCAATGGTGTTAGTGCCAGTGCTCCTCTGCTGTTTCTGACAGCCTGGTGTCAGACACACTCCTCAAGTGTCCATACATCAGACAGCCAATCCGGTTAAATAAAGATCTCCAAGCAGCTTTGCTGCGTCTAAGCTAATAATAGCTTCATCTTCCTAAGAGTCCTTTCAGTAAAGTGGTGGTTTATTACTGTTTGTGTCACCACGATATTAAAGAGAGAAAAAAAAAACCAACAGAAAACTGACTTCACTGGACAGAGCCACCGGTGAAGGAGGTTTTCACTACGTCTCCTAATATAAAGCCTGACTAACTTGAAGCTGACAGTCACTCAGATGAGAGAATTAACCTTGAGGGTTAATCCTCAGTAACTGTGCCCCCCCCCCCTCCCTCCTCCACCTAGTACAAATGAACACAATATGGTTCATGGTCCAGTTATCAGATGCCACACAGAGGCCACAAAATCTGAATATTAGCTCAAAATGTTACTTCTTAGAATTGGCAGCTTTTACTCAGCACTGTGCAACTTGATGATGACTTGCAAAATGTGTCAATGGTTGCTTTCAACTGACTTGTTGAGGATGGCATGAAGCAAAACGGGTGTTTCACCTGTTATAATGGTATTTTCAGAAATAAAACCCGTTTCTAGCAGTTTTTGTAAATGACACCATGTGAGTCTCTACAGCAACAATAAGTGAACAGAGGGTGTAATGACTGGAAATACAGTGTGCATTGTTCTGCCCATTTGCCCCATTATGTTACCATTTCAATAATATCACAAAATAATTATCGAAGCTTTCTACATGTGCTGCAAGTAATGTGAGTTTTTGTGTGCGTGTGTCGGTGCGTGTGTACACATATTCATATAACTGTCTTATGTTACCCACTTGCTCCAACACTATAGGCTTCTGACAAACAAGGGTAACCTAAGACAGTGTTGCCTTAATGGTGGGCAAGCATGTTGATTAGAAAAGGCTCTGCTTACATCTCTACTGTATAAGAAAAGCTTTGTGTTTGGTCCAGTCTCCTCTTTCAGCTCATAAAGAGAAGTTGACCAATAGATGAGCACAACTGAGCCCAAATGTCATGTCATGAAACATTGATAGGATAAAAGCAAAGCATTAATCAGATACACAACCAAGCATCACTGTGTGTGTTGTAAACTGCGAATGGAAATTGTTGTTAATGAGAAAACAAACCTAATTTGTTTTGTAGTTACTAACATTAATGTCAAGAGGTATATTTGTAGTGATTCCCAGCAGGCCTCACAAAAGCAAAGTTAAATCCTTCCCCCGTGGGTTTTCCAAGAACTATGACTGGCCAGTTGCCCACATTTCTTAACATAGAGCCTGTGACGCACATGCACACACATATTGACGGGGCTGACCTACACCTGGTGGCCCTAAAACCTGCTGTCTGGGCTTGTGCCAAACCTATTGGTGATCCCTGAGGCGGCTAAATCTGTGTACATATTGTCCAGTCACAGTGAGGAAGCAAATGATAAAAACAAAGAAGCTAAAATTAACTTAGATATCCAAAATAAATCCTGATATTTGGGTTTGACTTTTTACCTGCATCAGCAGAGACTTGTTATTGTCTTGATGGTTATTACATTTTTGTTCTTGTTGTTGTTGTTATTAAGGATACATCATAAAGCTTTAATGTCGTTACTAAGGATACATCATAAAGCTTTAATGTCAGCCGGCAGAGGCTCAGCAATGGCTGCTTAAGTCAAAGTTAACATATGCCAGCATCTAAATTAAGCTCCTAATTAACAAGTCCATGCTGAGGTACCATTATGGGCTAAACACTGAGTGCCAAAAATGGACAGAGATCCCGTTCAAATACAACAATTCTCCTAAGAACCTATTAGTTTGTATAAAAAAATAAAAATAATTGTGATAAGTGATTTATGTATACTGTCAGTTGAGTTTCACTTTAAATTCATTTTTGGACAAAATGTGTGTTGTTAAGGGTGCACTGTTTAAAATCTACAAATCTTTACAAGAAAAAATTACAATTAAAAGGATGTGTTAAATGTATATATTAATACGAGAATAAATGGAATAAAAAGGAACTTTGTTAGGAAAACTGTCAAGTGAGGCACTGCAGTTAAAAACACATGAGATGATTTCAAAATATTTTGCAAAATTCTGCCAGCTCACACTGTATTTTATCACAAATAAAATATTTTGGATGTCATTTGACATTTGCTGCGTATCAGTGACGCAGCAGATGTTCATCTAAA